GATGTTGTCGGTCTGCTGCAGGCGGGAGGAAGCATTTGCTAAGTCTCCTCTCCCCCAGTGATCAGACTAGAACAAGTCACAAGGTGGGGGGGCTGCAGTGGGATTTAGAAGACATCATCCCTGAGTCTGTATCTCAGGAAATAGATGGTGACACTTTATGATATCTGAAGAAAGGTCAGGCATAGTCAGGAGGAGTACAATGATCTCTGAGGGGCAATAAATACCTGGAATTGCTGGCAGGCTGGTGACCGTTGTGTACAGACACTAAGGGGAAGCGATATGCATTGCTACAACACAAGGCACTGCGCACCTTTTTTTTTCTCCTTTTGTAAACTTTAGTAAAAAGTCAAAAGTGACGTTTTCTTTATTTCTATTTCCCACAGTGAAGCGGTAAGGCGCCAGGTGAGGTGCAGTGCCAACAAATGCCGCTTGTCTGCATTTCTATGCACTACAACCCACTGCAATGCAAAGTTGAGGTGTGCTGGATGATGGTTGTGCCTGGCTGTTCTACCAGCCAGTAACAAACAAGTAACGGCACTGCAAGCATGTTGCCACATTTTGTATGCGTTTGCCGAAGCCAATAGCGTAGGAGGTGCATTGCAGTCTCATTCATTTTAATGGCACCCCAAGCGCACCCCCTGCACGCAATGTGCCCTACTGTGCCCCATTGTGCGGTACCACAATACCCTGCGTTGCGGTGCAACTGGAAAAAGTAGTGCTTGCATGTGTAATGCGCACACGTTGGATTTGGTAAACACAAACCAATAACATCTCCCCTGATACATTTTACTGTAGGGGTGGCCAAGTCATTTTTCCAAGGGCCCACATGAGAAACTGGGACTGTTGCTGAGGGCCGAACTACTATTTCTTTAAACCGCAATGCACGTTATTGCGTTGCGGAGCGGTTGGTCGCATTGCAGCCGAGAGGTGCACGTGAATGGCAAAGCAACACGCCATGCCTCCTGCAATGTTAATGCATGGAAGGTGTACTGATTGGACAGAACTGTGCCATGAACACACGGGGCCCTAAAGGTTTCCTTTACAATAAATGCTCCTCCTGGAGACGTCTCCTTTGCTGCCCACACTAGACAGACGAGTCAGCACTGAGGAAAACCGACGCGAGGTTCTCTGCTACCCTGATAAGCAGGAGGAGATGGGGGGGAAGTCTACCTGGATCTGAAGGCCGGGAACTACCGTAGTCTGTGGGAGTTTATGTATAAAATATGGATTATTTGTAGGAAATTGCTAAGAAAAAATGCAAATTATTTACAAATAACAACAACAAAAATGTAAACACAGCAAAAACAAACAAAGAGCTGCCCAGATCCTAGAGGAGAACGGTTCTGTTCCTCTGCTGTTTGGTTAGTGAAGACAAATCAACTGAACGCAACGTGTAGAAGAGTGTCACTGTCCATTCAGCACCACCGATCACAGGACACACACACCACACTCACATTCTATTACATTCTGAAATGTTATCATGGAATACATAGAGCACTACAGTTCTCGTTTCCCATGGCAACCCGACTTGCCCGCGTCATACTGGGACTAGGAGAAGGCGGAAGTGGCTGCTCACTCTTTCATGTAGAAGGTCCTTAGTCGTGAACAGAGGTGGCAGGAACGCAAATCACTCTTAGATCAGACTGGCAAATCTAGTCACCATCAGTGTTCATCTGAACTAAAGCAGATCTAAGACTGGTTACTATGGGTTACTACTAGGAATGCACTGATACCAATACTAATATCAGTACCGATACAGAGTATTTGGGCGAGTACTTGTACTCGGCCAAATGCTCCGATACTTACCCCCCCATACTGGAACTTCCGGTCAGAGGGAGATTTCCTCTGACCGGTATTGCCGCGAGGGAACATGGAGCCGGCTTCCTGGCCAATCAGCATTGAGTCGGATTTCCGAACCAATCAGGAAGCCGGGCGGCAGGTAATGACCCACCTCCCTGATTGGCCAGGAAGCCGCATCCATGCTGATTGGCTGGGAAGCCATCTTCCCGGCCAATCAGTACCGAGCCGGACAAACAGCATGGAGCCGGCTTCTTGATTGCCCGGGAAGCCAGCTACATGCTAGCAGAAATACCGGTATCGGTGAGTACCAAAAGATAAATATCGGTACTCAATAATGAAAACGGTATTGTTGCATCCCTAGTTACTACACACAAATACTCTATATGTTATATCATTACTATTACTCCACGGATACATGGACAGGCCAATCTACTCCAGGAGGAGCTTCACAGGCACAACCATTATCCCATTGACTTACCAAATGTCACCAGCTCCTCTATTTTGCCCTCAACCCACCTAATACTTTACTGACGTTCTTTAATACTGTGCTAACTCACCCAGAACCCAACTGTCTACCAATGTTTAGTAGCCCACCGACTCCTCTTTTAGCTATAACTCACCTCTGGACTGACTTCTCCATGATGTAGTTATTTCATTAATACCCCACCAACTTTTCCATTACCCTTCAACTCAACCAAAAGCCTTCTGACTCCTCTATTATTCTCTTGACTCACCCAAAACAATGAAGGCCCCCAATGACACTATGGACGCACCAAATATTCCAACTACTTTATTAAACCAACAATATCACCCCATGAAACTTAGAAGTCCTCTTATCCATCTCTACATTGTCCTCACCAAATGCACCACCCCAACTGTCACCTCATCAACCCCGCACCTCATCTCATCAACTCCATACTCTACTGGTTCACCTATCCACTTAATACTCCACCAGCTCATGTTACCTATCGACTTCATTCTCCAACAGCTCACTTGTCTGACTCCATACTCCACCACTTTATCTGTCATCCCCTCAACTCCAAACTCAACCAGCATGTCATCCCTTGACTCCATACCCCACCAGCCCCATTAACTCCATATTTCCCCAGCTCACCCTACACCCCGTCAAATCTATACTCCACTAGTTCCTCTGTGACCCCATCAACTCCGTACTCCATCAACACATCTGTCATTCCATACTCCACCAGTGTGTATGTCATCCCGACCACTCCATACACCACCCAGCTCATCTGCCACCTTTTCAACTACATCAGCTCATCTGTCACTCCATCATCTACTCTACATTCCACCAACTCACCTTTCAACTCATCAATTCCATACTCAGCCGGCTAACCGGTCACCTTTCTTATCTGCTCCATACTCCACCAGCTCATCTGTCACCCCATCCACATCTTATTTTGCTAACTTATCGGTCACCTCATCTAATCCATAGTCCAGCAGCTTATCTGTCACCCCATCAACTCTAAACTTCACCAACTCAACTGTAACCCCATTCATTCCATACATTTCACCACGCCAACTATATACTCCAAGCAGCTCATCTGTAACCACATTGACTCTATACTCTACCAAATCACCTGTCCCTCCATCAACTCCATACTCCCCAAGCTCTCCTGACCCCCCCATACTTCACCAGCTCATCCATCAGCCCATCTCCACCAGCTTATCCCGTCTCCCCATCCCCTCCATCAGCTCATCTGTCACTCCATCCCCTCCGCCACCACATCCCTCACCCCATCATCTTTGCCACCTCCTCCGTCACCCAATC